AATGGAGTCAACAATTGATAGAATCGAACAATAAAGGGGAGTCAGCAATTAATGGAATCAAACAATGAACAAATATTTCCTACGGCAGTGGCCCTGGGGGAAGGTTCTGGAACGCGGTGATGCACACTCAGGGCAGGGAAGCGTCCATTCACTCCACACTCAGCAACGTCTTGAAAAGGCAGGAGAACACCGGGGCACCGACGGAATGTGATGAACTGATGGTCGTGGTATGCGGTAGTGGTAGATGACCAGAGAGTTGGCAGTTGATAGGTGAAGGTCTGGGAACACAGCCCACGAGTCCAGGACCTATGATGAGATCACAGCCAGAATTTTGACGGACAGCAGGGTAGCTAGATACTGACGGTATGGCGGCTGGGTTGAATCTCCTCGTGGCGGAGAGGGTTGCTGCCGTTATCACCTCCGTCCAACCACCCCAAGTGTCGTATGCACCAGCAAACGAGCGAGTTAGCAGCGGTAACTAGCCGGAGGATCGTTTCTGCCCTTACACTGCTCCCCCAACAAAAATCTACTGTAAGGTAGATTAAAACTTAAGATTAGTACACAAAGCATAATCATCTTACAACAAATGCTTAAATACACATTGCACAATAAAGAAGGGTCATAGAAAAGAATAGGTGGTAACTTGATGTCCAAAACGTAAGGCCGTATCAAGGAACTGCACGTGGGGTCCACTTCAGTCCAAGTTTAAGTTTGGGCCTATTTCCTGTCGTGGAGGATTCTTCTATCTCGTCAGGTGTTGGCAGCAACTGGCAACCGAGATCAACAGACTCTGGCGTCCGAACTTCACAGGAACCCTTGCAGGGTAGTGCCTCGACTAACTCCATCTTGGGGACGTCGTCAAGGACACGGGCAATGTGGGTCCTGCAATTATATTGCTTTAACAAATTAGCTTGATGTAATTTAGGCTTCTTAGAGGAAGGAGGTGAGAATCGTCCAACAAAATCTATGGCTACCCGAGAAGATGGTTCTGCAACGACGGGTAAGGGTTCAAGTGGAACAGGACGGACTCTACCCTTGGCGGACATACGTGGGCACTGATCACAACTACAAAAAGCTCTAATATCCGCTCCCATACCTGGCCAGTAAAACTGATCAGCAACCTTCCTATAAGTTTTCCTACGAGAACAGTGACTTACAAGAGAGCTCTTGTGAGCTACAGAGAGAATGTTACTACGACAAACAGCAGGGACAACAAGTAAAAACCGACCTACTTTAGCTGGTCGCTTGGATGAAACACAAGACCTGTGTAACACCCCATTAATAGAAACAAACTTATAAACCGACCCATCTCTCACCTGATCCTCCTCCCCGGAAGTCACCTTCTCTCTTACCCGCTTCAGAGTGGCACACGAGTCTTGAAGCTTGGCGAACTCCTTGGGCGTCACAGTCAGTGGCAACAAATTCGGCAGAATCAGGGGATGCGGTCGTTTCACCTTCGCCGTCCGTGGCCCTACAGTTTGGACCCTGGCGGCAGGCGCGGCGGCGTGAGAGGGTGGCGAGGCGACCTCGGCAGGTGGCGAGTCGTCGTCCTCAGCAGGTGGCGTGGGGACTGGTGCTGGTGGTGAGGAGACTGGTGCTGGTGGCGAGGAGAGTTAACGTTTCCGGGTCGTTAGGGTCACGAACACCGGGAACATTACCAATGAGGGCACTTGCACATTTAATGGGAACTCTTACCACATTAGACCAACCAGTGAAATAGGGGCAACGCAGGTAGCACCTAACAACAGGGAACTGGTCAACACGACCTAAATAATCGGCGACACTAACCTTCGGGCAGCTGGAGATGTCAGCGTCAGGCAGGGCTTCTTCAGAGACAATAATGCACGAGCAACCAGTGTCCCTGATGAAAGTAGATGCCCTAGACCCATTGATTGTTCCACTGACACAATAACGGGGGCAGCTCCTGACCTCCAAACAGAATCCGACCTTGTTGCTGGGTTGATGAGTGTCAGCAGTCTTGAAGGCGAGGGGATTCCTGGGACAGCGAGAACGAATGTGCCCTTCTCCGCAGCTGTGACACCGCACGGCTGGTGAACTACTCTTGTGTACTCCTGGGGATGGTTCCTCGGAGGACGGAGGCTTCACAATCTTCACTACAGGAGGGGAAGACTTGGGGTAGGCGTTGCGAGCAGACGCCCAGTTGTCGGCAAGATGCACAGCTTCTCCAAGCGTCGCTGGCTGGTGTTCTTTGATGAAAATTCTCAAGTCTGGAGGTAGAGAAGACAAAAACTGATCTAATATCATGAAGTTAGAGAGAGACTCAAAGGTTTCTTCAACCCCTGATGTCTCCAGCCATTGTTGAAACAAACGACCCAGGTGAATCGAAAACTGCTGGTACGTTTCTCCCTCTCTAATCTTCGTTCTGCGAAAATCAGCACGATAACCGTCAGAAGTCTTGCAAAATCCTCGCAAGAGAGCTTGCTTCAACAAGAAGTAATCTCGGGTGATGTCGGCAGACAGGGACGTGTAAATTTCTACCGGCTTACCACTCAGTAGGCTACCCAACCTTACAGCATAGCTATCTGGGGCTACACCAAGCAGCTCAGCTACCCGCTCAAACCTAACAAGGTAGGAGGCGATGTCTTCTCCTTCACGGTACACAGGCAAGCTGGGTTTTACCACATTGTCCTGTATATGGCCAGAGGAGGCTGGTCTACTTGAAGCATTAATCCTAGCCAGTTCTAGGTCCTTTTCTGCCTGCAACTTAGCTAATTCGAACTCTCTCTTTCTGACGTTCCTCTCTCTCTCTCTCTTTCTGACGTTCCTCTCTCTCTTTCTGACGTGCCTCTCTCTCTCTCTGACGTTCCTCTCTCTCGGCATTCTGTTGGGTGACCACATACTGACCAATGTCATTACCTGTCAGACCCAGGGCCACCGCTTGATCTTTCCACACCTCAAAAGCAGACATAATGATCCGAAAGGCCAAGAACAAAGGAAAAAACAAACAACTTACCCCGCAAATAGCCAAAGGTAACTCACCTAGTGGCTCAATCAGACCAGTAAATGATTTGATCCGACTGGAGGGAACCTAGTTCCGCACCCAGCCCAGCTGAATCACCTCAGGGTAACGAAACCGCACCATGTGAAACAACAACATATATGCTATGGCAGCATCCACAGTGCACCCCAACCAACACTAATTAACTTCCCAAGTACAAGGGAGAGCAACAAAATTAGCACACAGAAGGAAGGGATAACCACTGAACAACACTTGCTTCCGGGCCACAGACAGCAAGGTGGCGCGCTCACGGCGACTTACAACAACACCGGAACGAATGTTAAACCTCAGAAACCAAAGGTCAGAGACAATCCTGGCAAGGTCGCCACTTGTAAAGGCCTAGGACTTAGGGATAGAAATCCCTTACCAGGCTAATCAGGATCTTAATAAAGGAAAGTCAAGGACCATGGTTTTCCGAGGAATAACAAACAACCGTTAGAGATTGGCATCTCTTTACTATAAAAATATAACAAAACTCTGACACCACTCAACAATCATCAAATAATTACGGGAGTCAAACAATTAATGGAAGCAACAATTAAAGGAATCAAACAAATAATGGGAGTCAGCAATTAATTGGATTCAAACAATTAAATGGAGTCAACAATTGATAGAATCGAACAATAAAGGGGAGTCAGCAATTAATGGAATCAAACAATGAACAAATATTTCCTACGGCAGTGGCCCTGGGGGAAGGTTCTGGAACACGGTGATGCACACTCAGGGCAGGGAAGCGTCCATTCACTCCACACTCAGCAACGTCTTGAAAAGGCAGGAGAACACCGGGGCACCGACGGAATGTGATGAACTGATGGTCGTGGTATGCGGTAGTGGTAGATGACCAGAGAGTTGGCAGTTGATAGGTGAAGGTCTGGGAACACAGCCCACGAGTCCAGGACCTATGATGAGATCACAGCCAGAATTTGACGGACAGCAGGGTAGCTAGATACTGACGGTATGGCGGCTGGGTTGAATCTGCTCGTGGCGGAGATAGTCGCTGCCGTTATCACCTCCGTCCAACCACCCCAAGTGTCGTCTGCACCAGCAAATGAGCGAGTTAGCAGCGGTAACTAGCCGGAGGATCGTTCTGCCCTTACACTGGTCGAGTATAACAAAGTCCTCAGATCTAGTACAGGGAGGACATGCTATGTTTATGTATATAATGTGTATGTACAGTGTATATGGGAATGTATAATAATAATAATAATAATAATAATAATAATAATTGACGGTTTATTGAAAAAGTTCTGCTGCCCGAAGGCTGAAAATATACATTGGACATAAAAGACTTATTACATACATTGGTGGTTCAACAAAAGCCTTCATTAGAGAAAGGTAAAGGAACATACAGTGAACATACAGATTAATGTAGGTGTTGAACAGCAAACTCGTAGTGTAGTAACTCCCTCCCAGATGGTGTTAGGAGGAACTCACGTGGTGTAGTAGTTCCCTCAGATGGTGTTATGAGGGACCTGGCGTGGTGTAGTAATTCCCTCACAGATGGTGTTATGAGGGGCCTGACGTGGTGTAGTAATTCCCTCACAGATGGTGTGATGAGGGACTTGACGTGGTGTAGTAATTCCCTCACATATGGTGTTATGAGGGACATGTGGTGTAGTAATTCCCTCACAGATGGTGTTATATGAGTGAGGTTTGGTCCCAGGCCTTCCTATCGTAGACGGATTAACACATCGGTGGTTGTTGTTGGGTCTCGCGGGGGCCGTTATCACTGGGTACCTGGGACCTCACTGTGTGAAGGTTAACTTGGGTACGACTGTTACTGTTGAGTTGACCTCACTGTGTGAAGGTTAACTTGGGTACGACTGTTACTGTTGAGTTGTTCTCACTGACTTAAGCACTGTTCACCACTGTTCACCTCTGTTTAACACTGGTTCCGTTCCTTTCCTAAATGAAATTGTAACTTCTGGTGAGAACTTGTTGATATTCCGGTGGGGAGGAGAGTTCAGGGGAGGGGGTTGGTATGGGCCAACTTAACAAGAGTGAGGCTAGTAGAGTATTAGCACTAGTCGACGACATAAGTAAGTACCTAGGAAAAGACCAGAAGCCGACCAGTGGACATCAACCAGTGGCTACACCAGCCCATATGTCTACACCGACGCACATGTCTACACCAGCCCATATGTCTACACGGAAGCACATGTCTACACCAGCCCATATGTCTACACCGACGCACATGTCTACACCAGCCCATATGTCTACACCGACGCACATGTCTACACCAGCCCATATGTCTACACCGACGCACATGTCTACACCGACTCATATGTCTACACCGACGCACATAGCCAATAGTTACCAGTAAGTTGCTTGTTTAATAGTTACTTTAGATAGATACTGTAGATATAGATACTTTAGATATAGATACTGTACATATACTGTAGATACTTTAGATAGATATCCACCATAATTTACTCCCTACATTGCTACAGGCGAGAAGACACAGTCGATAATACAATCAACAAGGGGGTACCAGGTGGTGCCGAGGCAGTCTACAGTCAGTCGTCTACGCCCCGGGCACAGTCAGTCTCTCAAGCAGCTGCGGCAGTCTGTTGTCAACACCAGAGGGTATGACGTGGTGGTGGTTGTTGTTGTGGGGAGGGAAGGATTGGGGTACTGGAGGGGAGTGTTAAGGGAGGGAAGGGATTGGGGTACTGGTGGGGTGTGTTAGGGGATGGAAGGATTGGGGTACTGGTGGAGAGTGTTAGGGGAGGGAAGGATTGGGGTACTGGTGGAGAGTGTTAGGGGAGGGAAGGATTGGGGTACTGGAGGGGTGTGTTAGAGGAAGGAATTGGGGTACTGGTGGGGAGTGTTAGGGGAGGAAGGGGATGGGGTACTGGAGGAGGTTAGGGAGGAAGGGATGGGGAGGCAGAGGGAAGGATTGGGGTACTGGAGGGGTGTGTTAGGGGAGGGAAGGATTGGGGGTACTGGTGGAGAGTGTTAGGGGAGGGAAGGATTGGGGTACTGGAGGGTGTGTGTTAGGGGAGGGAAGGAATTGGGGTACTGGTGGGGAGTGTTAGGGGAGGGAAGGGATGGGGTACTGAGGAAAAGTAGGGGAGGGAAGGGATGGGGAGTGTTAGGGGAGGGAAGGATTGGGGTACTGGAGGGGTGTGTTAGGGGAGGGAAGATGGGCACTGGTGGAGAGGTTAGGAGGGGAAGGGAGGGGCACTGGAGGGAGGAAGGATTGGGGGTACTGGAGGGGTGTGTTAGGGGAGGAAGGATTGGGTACTGGAGGGAGGGTTAGGGGAGGGAAGGGATGGGCATTGAGGGGAGTGAAGGATTGGGGTACTGAGGGAGTGTTAGGGGAGGAAGGATTGGGGTACCTGGAGGGGAGTGTTATTAGGGGAGGGAAGGATTGGGGTACTGGAGGGGAGTGTTAGGAGGGAAGGGGATTGGGGGTACTGGTGGGGAGGTTAGGGAGGGAAGGGATGGGGAGGTTAGGGGAGGAAGGATTGGGGTACTGGAGGGGAGTGAAGGATTGGGTACTGGAGGGGTGTGTTAGGAGGGAAGGATTGGGGTACTGAGGGGAGGCTAGTAGTGGGAATGATTGGGGTACTGGAGGAGGTTAGGGGAGGGAAGGGATGGGGTACTGGTGGGGAGTGTTAGGGGAGGGAAGGGATGGGGAGTGTTAGGGGAGGGAAGGATTGGGGTACTGGAGGGGAGTGAAGGATTGGGGTACTGGAGGGGTGTGTTAGGGGAGGGAAGGATTGGGGTACTGGAGGGGAGTGTTAGGGGAGTGGAAGGATTGGGGTACTGGAGGGGTGTGTTAGGGGAGGAAGGATTGGGGTACTGGAGGGGTGTGTTTGGGGAGGGAAGGATTGGGTACTGGAGGGGTGTGTTAGGGGAGGGAAGGATTAAATGGAGGGGTGTGTTAGAGGGAAGGATTGGGGTACTGAGGGGAGGTTAGGGGGAGGGAAGGCAGGGGGTACTGGAGGGGAGTGTTAGGGAGGGAAGGATTGGGGTACTGGAGGGGTGTGTTAGGGGAGGGAAGGATTGGGGGTACTGGAGGGGAGGTTAGGAGGGAAGGATTGGGGTACTGAGGGGAGGTTAGGGGAGGAAGGATTGGGGGTACTGGAGGGAGTAATAGGGGAGGGGGGGCGATTGGGGGTACGGAGGGTGTGTTAGGGGTTGGGAAGGATTGGGGTACTGGAGGGGAGTGTTAGGGAGGGAAGGCATGGGGTACTGGAGGGGAGTGTTAGGGAGGAAGATTGGGGTACTGGAGGGGAGTGTTAGGAGGGAAGGATTGGGGTAATGGGGAGTGTTAGAGGGAAGGATTGTACTGAGGGAAGGATTAGTACTGAGGGGAGTGTTAGGGGAGGAAGGCATGGGTACTGAGGGGAGGTTAGGAGGGAAGGATTAAAATGTGGGGAGGTTAGGGGAGGGAAGGATTGGGGGTACTGGAGGGTGTGTGTTAGGGGAGGGAAGGATTGGGGTACTGGTGGGGAGTGTTAGGGAGGAAGGATTGGGGTACTGGAGGGAAGGATTGGGGGTACTGAGGGAGGTGTTAGGGGAGGGAAGGATTGGGGTACTGAGGGAAGGATTGGGTACTGGAGGGGAGTGTTAGGGAGGGAAGGATTGGGGTACTGGAGGGAAGGATTGGGGTACTGGAGGGGAGTGTTAGGGGAGGGAATGATTGGGGTACTGGAGGGAAGGTTTGGGGTACTGGAGGGAAGGATTGGGGTACTGGAGGGGAGTGTTAGGGGAGGGAAGGATTGGGGTACTGGAGGGAAGGATTGGGGTACTAGAGGGGAGTGTTAGGTTAGGTTAGTGTTAGGTTGTAATCTAATAGACCCTCTATATAATGAACTCTCCTCATAGTCCAGTAAATCGAGGTTTCACAACAAATAGCAAAATGACTTATTAATTTCTATCAATTTTACAGCAAGTCAGTGGCAGCCCGGGACTAAACTTTTCATACCGGGACAAAAACGCATCGAACGACCTGTACACTAACGATGATTACGTCCTGATTACGGCTTTCGACCATCAGACGGAACCAGAGAACTTCATGTTTCCATCTGTGTACGTCTCTCTCTCTCTCTCTCTCTCTCTCTCTCTCTCTCTCTCTCTCTTGCAGCCATCTGTCAGTTATTACATAAATACAGTATTACCATAGCTGAAAATAATTGTAAGCTTAGATTAAGATTTTTTGCCAGCTTAGATGAAAATAATTATAAGCTTAGATCAATTTTGGAAGGACAAGCTTAGAAAAATAATTACAAGCTTAGATCAATTTTGGGAGGACAAGCTTAGAAAAGTAATTACAAGCTTAGATCAATTTTGGGAGGACAAGCTTAGAAAAATAATTACAAGCTTAGATCAATTTTGGGAGGACAAGCTTAGAAAAATAATTACAAGCTTAGATCGATTTAGAGAACAAACTTCGATAAAAAATATATCCCATATTTACAAATCTTTACAGCGAGGCAAACAACAATAACATTCAGCTGCAAGACGTCAACCAGATCAACGGCAATACGTGTTACATGACTGAGGGGTCGACTGGATCACCTTTTCGTCAGGGAGGGTTTACGGGGCAACCTCACTCTGCCGCCGCCCACCAGCAGCAGTCTGTGAGAGGTCATCTATATCAACCTCCTCGGCTCCTTCCTAGGTACGTTGGGTGGGTTGGGTGGGGTGTGGAGGTGGGTGTGTTTTGTTGGGGTACAGTATAATATAATCTGACTGGTACCTTTTATAACATTACACTCATAACAATATACCTGTATTTGCTAAGTGAAATAATGTTCCAAAATTACAACAACCAATGATTTACCTTCTATAAATAACCAATTAATTCTTTTCGATTTAGTAAAGATTATAATTTATTTACTAATGATTCATACAGTACAGGTAGCTATATATATATTAACTAGTGATTGTGTATAAAATATTAGTGGTATTTATTTGATTTTATGACCATTATAGAAGCACGGCATTGGCGTCGAGGAGCCATTCCGTCACTGGGTTACCGACGCCTATGGAAAGACACGGTTTGTATCACGACGAATGCTCTGAGTTATACCGCTATATGGATTCCTGCTCGCACCAGATACACGCCTTGTGTATGGAGAGTGAGAACAACACTCAGGGCTCCCAGACGTCGATCTCCCAGCTGTCGAATATCGCCTCATCGGGATACCAGAGCTTCGCCTATTCCCAGTCTTCCTCCCCTGTTGATCCCCTCCTACACACTGACAATTCGAGCTTGTTGTCTCGTGAGAATGGGAATCCTGGTGTACTGGGGTTGAGACAAGTTCTCCACGCGTCCCCTTTAGGTGAGTTTTCAATATATCAAAGCTTTTATATTTCGATCAGATTTGTGATATTTAAATGCATTTTTTGACTTGCTATGTTCATCAATCAAAGCTTAAGATATTATATGCTAGCTTATAGGGATAAAATGCCTTATCAATCGCTGGAGTAATTGCTCACTTCCCTCTATCACCCTGTAATGGAGTTATTTGATATCTTCCTTCCCAATCAACAGTGATTATGCTTGTTAATCTGCTTATGTGTGTGTGTGTGGTTGTTTCCTGTAGCCTCGCCTCTGCATCTCCCAGCTACCACCACTAGGCATCGCGCCGTGGCTGTACATCTGGCTTACTTAGGTCACGCCGGTCACGTGTCGCTTCATGGTACGCCTAGACACAATCCCAAAGTCACTCAGCCTCAAGGTACATTGTGGACCTTCTGTAATGCCCCTGAGTATAGTACAGTAATTCAGTGTCCCATCTATGCTGTAGTTAGATTATATACCTCTACGTGAAGTAATTATATATGAAACAAAAATGACTAAGTTATTATCCATAAATGCTAGTATACTATTAAGTAGACATCAAATAGCTTATAGTAATAGGAGACGCGGGTATTGATTGTCACTTCCTACTTGTTGTGGTACGAAGGCGGTCCGTATAGCAGCCTCAGCACCTCCCAGAGTGTAGAGGACCTCACGTCCCTAAGTCGAGGCCGCACACGCCAACGCCGCTCTGCTTCATCCTCTTCCGATTCCTCCCCTGACTCCCGACCTTCCTCACGCTCTCACGCCCATTCTCGCCGCCCCCACGCCCACCCTCCCCGCACCAATCCCCACTGCTCTCCTTGCTTGGCACCGTCTCCCGCGTTGAGGCAGGAGCTAAGAGCCAGATCACATCATGAGCGGAGCATTAGCGGAGGAAGGGGAAGGAATTATAGGTGAGTCGACGTCTGCCAACACATGTAGAAGTTATACCAATGGAAGTATTATGTTGCTTATATAATTATGCCTCTCAAACCATATATAATTGAAGCTTAATTATGCCTCTCAGATCTCATATAATTGAAGCTTAATTATGCCTCTCAGAGCTCATATAACTGAAGCATTATGTGAACATTTATCATCACATCTCATAAAAAACATCTTATATATTACAGATAAAACTTGATAGAACAAGTGTGTATTTCTTGACACTTTCTAGTACAGGTATAAGATAAATCCTTAACTACTTTTGTATGGATGCCCCTGTAGTGAAGATGTTAGTGGTAATAGTCTACTAACACCTTATGTATGGGGTCACCTCTGTTGTTAACCAAATATTAAAAGTGTCGTCCCTGTAGTGAAGATGTTAGTGGTGATAGTCTACTAACACCTTATGTATGGGGTCACCTCTGTTGTTAACCAAATATTAAAAGTGTCGTCCCTGTAGTGAAGGTGTTAGTGGTGATAGTCTACTAACACCTTGTGTATGGGGTCACCTCTGTTGTTAACCATATATTAAAAGTGTCGTCCCTGTAGTGAAGATGTTAGTGGTGATAGTCTACTAACACCTTATGGATGGGGTCACCTCTGTTGTTAACCAAATATTAAAAGTGTCGTCCCTGTAGTGAAGATGTTAGTGGTGATAGTCTACTAACACCTTATGTATGGGGTCACCTCTGTTGTTAACCAAATATTAAAAGTGTCGTCCCTGTAGTGAAGGTGTTAGTGGTGATAGTCTACTAACACCTTGTGTATGGGGTCACCTCTGTTGTTAACCATATATTAAAAGTGTCGTCCCTGTAGTGAAGATGTTAGTGGTGATAGTCTACTAACACCTTATGTATGGGGTCACCTCTGTTGTTAACCAAATATTAAAAGTGTCGTCCCTGTAGTGAAGATGTTAGTGGTGATAGTCTACTAACACCTTATGTATGGGGTCACCTCTGTTGTTAACCAAATATTAAAAGTGTCGTCCCTGTAGTGAAGATGTTAGTGGTGATAGTCTACTAACACCTTATGTATGGGGTCACCTCTGTTGTTAACCAAATATTAAAAGTGTCGTCCCTGTAGTGAAGATGTTAGTGGTGATAGTCTACTCACACCTTATGTATGGGGTTACCTCTGTTGTTAACCAAATATTAAAAGTGTCGTCCCTGTAGTGAAGGTGTTAGTGGTGATAGTCTACTAACACCTTGTGTTTGGGGTCACCTCTGTTGTTAACCAAATATTAAAAGTGTCGTCCCTGTAGTGAAGATGTTAGTGGTGATAGTCTACTCACACCTTATGTATGGGGTCACCTCTGTTGTTAACCAAATATTAAAAGTGTCGTCCCTGTAGTGAAGGTGTTAGTGGTGATAGTCTACTAACACCTGTTAAACCTGAAAAATATTAAAAGTGTCCTGTAAGGTGTTAGGGTATACTATCACACCTTTTGTATAAGTCACCTCTTGTACAAATATTAAAATCCCTGGAAATGTGGTATAGTCTACTCACACTTATGTAGGATCCTCTATTTTATTACCAAATTTAAAAGTGTCGTCCTAGCAGTGAGAGATGTTAGTGGTGATAGTCTACTAACACTATATATGGGTCACCTCTGTTATAACAATATTAGTGTCGTCCCTGTAGTGAAGTGTTAGTGGTGATAGTCTCCTCCTTGTATGAGGTCACCTCTGTTGTTAACCAAATATTAAAAAGTGTCGTCCCTGTAGTGAAGGTGTTAGTGGTGATGTCTACTACAACACCTTGTGTCAGGTCACCTCTGTTGTTAACCAAATATTAAAAGTGTACGTCCTGTAGTGAAGGTGTTAGTGGTGATAGTCTACTACACGGTATATCAGTCCTCGCTGTTAACCAAATAAAAAAAGTGTAGTCCTGTAGTGAAGGTGTTAGTGGTGATAGTCTACTACACCTTGTGCTAGCAGGTCACCTCTGTTGTTAACCAAAAAAAGTGTCGTCCCTAGTGAAGGTGTTGGTGTCCACTCCTTGTGTATCAGGTGCCTTTGTTGTTAACCAAATATTAAAAGAGTGTCGTCTACTTAGAGGATGTTAAGTGGTGATAGTCTCACTAACACCTTGGCGAGATACATATTTTAACATTAAAGTGTCAGTGTTTTGATAGTCTACCAATTCTTTAAACAAATATTAAAGTGTCGTTGTAAGAAGATGTTAGTGATGATCTACCTTTGTATAAAGTCTAATCGTTAACAAATATTAAAAGTTTCAGTGAGGTGTTGTGATAGTCCACACCTCTGTTGTTAACAAATATTAAAAGAATGTCGTCCTGTAGTAAAGGTGTTTGTGGTGATAGTCTACTAAAACCTTGTGTAATAGGTCCTCTGAGCTGAATAAAATCATTTGTCATTCTTCACCTAAACGACTTTAAGCATAACTCTATATTTTAGATCCTGCGACAGAGAGGACTTCAGGACCCTCCACATTTACCAGGACTCCGAGGATGGATGTAAATGTGGTGTTAGGGAGGGCAGTGCAGCTGGTCGAAGGGTGAACGATTACATTGCCATGAGCACTACGGCTCCTCAGTACTGGACCAGCAGGAAGTTCAAATGAGAGTTATTGTTGAGAGGTAAACAAACGGACACAGACGTTATTCTCTTATATCTAGGTTAAATAGAGTTAAACCTCGATATAATGGACTTCATCTCCTATACAGTTCGTTAGAGAGGGTTCACATCTAATGGACCCTCGATATAACAAACTCTCATCTCTATATAGTTCATATCAACAGACTCATCACACACCAAATCTCTTGCTACATCATTTCTCTCTTATTTCCTCAGGTTAATGAATGGTTTCGCCACGAACAGGTGCGTGAAATGCAACAAAGACGCCCGCATTGACGTCCCAGAGCCAAGAAGATCGCTGCCTTGGATTGCGCAAACACCAGCTCGTCGCGTGCTCGCTTAAATACACGGTTTGTGATGACATACATTTGAGTAGGTGCTGGTATATACTTGGTTGTATAATACGGTTGTCGTCATTCATGCAGTTGGTATTTGGTTACTACATATATAGCATTTGTCTTTGGTTATACATACGTTTTTACCATCATACTGTAGGCCCTGGGCAAAAGCAATATCCTGGAGCCCCTATATAAATGAAAACTAAAACATTAAAATTAACTTATTAAGTTACATTGAACACAATTGTTGAAACATATGATTGGTGGAAAGCAAAAATTAATCAACAATTTTCAACTTGGGGACACATGTGATTACTCTACTATGGGTATGACTTAACAGAGCCTTAATTCTTCAAGTGTTACATTTGCTGCCAGCCTGGAATGCTCTTGTCACAACCAGGCCCACGTAATATTTCCACGGGATAATAACCTAGATTAACACACACTTAATCTCGTGTCACTGATGGTCCACAGGACAGGTGGAGGTAGTGTGGCGTCGATACCCTTCAGGAGGGAGAGGGGTGTGGACGACGTCTTAACAACCCATGGCCTAGGAGATACTATTAAAATGTGTTTTTGGGGCGTGAGGCGATGAACAACACTGTCTCAATGGCCTCTCCCTATAGGCTGGCTAACATAACACTAATGGAAAATATATGTCGTAGTCATGGCTCACCGGGTCTTATCTCAGTAAAACAAACTTTGTTTGTTGGGTGGGTAAGCTAAAGCAGTCCCATAGAACTATGTACTTCATTAGTAGTGGTGGTATCCATCCGCCAATTCTATCGTGGGGCCCCAATATCGTGGGGCCCTGGTCAACTGGCCAGCGCCATGCGGTGATCTCTGCAGACGCCATGTTGTTACTCATCGGGTGGGAAGTCTTGTCGTTCTCTCTCCCATATTTTATAAAATGCTTATCAATTGTAAACATGTATGGCAGTTTGTATTGAATTAACATCATTATCATCATCATTTTCATCATCATTATCATCATCATCATCTACAGTTCGAGCACCAACTTTTCATCAGCTGGGTAACAACATGGCCCAGCTATATGCCATCAGGTGAGGGGCTGGAAACTAATTTATCGGCTATGCGTCTCTTGATTTATTTATTTAGTAAACCCTTAAAATCTTATTAAATGAAACGATATTAAATTAAAACGTTTGTAAAAATAAGATAACACTATGATTTATTTGTTCCTATTTATATTATTAATAGTTGTTTTATGGGATATTTTAAATTAAGTAACAAATTCAACCAACTTGACCAATTAGGAACCTAACCCAACTTGAGACAGAGATTTATACATGTCAACTTCCAGAGACAGAATCCATATGAATACTGACCCACTATACATGTTAGGGTGTATACATCTATCTATCTATCTATCTATCTATCTATCTATCTATTTATCTATCTACAGGCCAGGGGTTGAGCATGAACAGCGTGGGGACGTGACCCTCGACTCCTGCAATGCGTCGGACACCAGATTACAAGTTCCTCCTGCTGTCACGACAGTTTTCTTTGGTACCGTAAACTCAACTATTTTTGGGATTTTGGAAATTATGGGTGATGATTTTACAAACAATGATTGGGAAAAATTGATATATTGTATTACAGAGGATAACGATTGTATGGTCGTTTGTGTTAGTATACTGTGTCAGCCATTGCATTTCTACATAACGGCAATTAGTACGTATACGCAACAAAGCATAATCAATTGTTCTTCTATCATGGGCATTTAACTATAATATATATTACCCTTATTGTATCGAGTTTTGATGCAATTTTGAGTTTCCTTTATAGATCTTGTACCATATCAATTGTTTCGACTGTATACTGCCTAGTCCAGTCTGTGTTTATATATTTCACTTTTGTTGTTTGGGTGTTAATTTGGATTATTTCTTGTCTGTTTTGTGTTTAATACGTACATACATACATAGATTCACATATATACTTACCAGTATAAAATTATCAATAACTTGTATCAGGTGTATTCTCCGTAGCACTGCATACTTACATATGTTGAAATGAACTGTAGTTTGAGCTCATCTATTATATGTCTTATTTGTGTCACTTATGTTACTATTGTTATTATTTGTAATTCGTAACCCATTTGTAACTGTATATGACTGCACAATTTGTCTAGGTTAGTTAGTGTATTATTATTAGTTTGAAACATGACACAAATTTCTTTTCAAAATTCATTTATTCAATTTCACCTTTTAGAAAATATTAGAAATTCGGGTTTTTTTAATTCTGTCCAATTTAAAACTCAAAAGAGGAATTAAAACTGTGGAAAAACATTAAATTTTGTGTATAAAAGTACTGTAATATAGATCTTGATTTGATTTTTTATAAGCTAATTAAAGTGCAGAATTATGGATGCTGATTTGTACTGGTAGCATATTTTTCTTCCCAATAGTGTAATGCAGTACTGTAGTTATTTGTTAGTTGTTGTGTTTATACGGTGTCTGTTTGTCGAGGTAGGTGAGTGTGTGTGTGTGGCGATTGGGTAGCATTGGGTCTGGTTTATGCATCTGAGAACTGGAAACATCTCATTATAATTGAACCAAACCCAACCAAAACAACGTAACCAACAAACAACATACTATAAAACAACCAAACCCAACCAAACCAATAACAACAACCCAACCAAACCCAGCCCAACGTAACCTAACGTAAAACCCCCACAACAATACCAAGTTCTCCACACACTGACTCGACATACGAACACGAACACACACTCGTACACACACACAAGATTTACGAACACCAAGATTAGAGTTACTTGTGTTTCCTTTTCGAGCTCAGTGTCAGTACAGTTCATCCGTCTAAACACAGATTTATTGTACATTAGTCTACTGTAGTTTAGTGTAAATAAATAATACAAAAAAAAATATATATATATTTGTCCATATTTAGACACAAAAGACTGTGTAGTTTTGTTTCAATTTCTGATGATGAATCTGGTGGCAGTCATCATTGTAGTGAGGATATCAATATAGCAATGCTTGTAAAGTGTTTCTATATATTTAGTAAGCAAAGGATTAAACCCTTGAGTAATGACTTGACCTCTTGATTACTATGACATAACCCCTTGAGTACAATGACTTGACCTCTTGATTACTATGACATAACCTTGAGTACAATGACTTGACCTCTTGATTACTATGACATAACCCCTTGAGTACAATGACAACCCCTTGATTACTATGACATAACCCCTTGAGTACAATGACGATACTCTTGATTACTATGACGCCAACCCCTTGGTACAATGACTTAACCCCTTGATTACTATGACATGCAACCAGGTACAATGACTTAACCTCTTGATTACTATGACATAACCCCAGGTACAATGACTTAACCCCATTACTATGACGCAACCTTGAGTACAATGACTTAACCCCTTGATTACTATGATATAACGCCAGGTACAATGACTGACCTCTTGATTACTATGTCAAACCCCTTGAGTACAATGACTTGACCTCTTGATTACTATGACACAACCCCTGGTACAATGACTTAACCCCGATTACTATGACATCAACTGCAGTACAATGACTTAACCCCTTGATTATATGACATAACCCCTTAGTACAATGACTTAACCCCTTGATTACTATGACATAACCCCTTGAGTACAATGAAACACCCTCGCCAGTTACTATGACCAACCCCTTGAGTACAATGACTTAACCCCTTGATTACTATGACACTAACCCCTTGAGTACAATGACTTAACCCCTTGATTACTATGACATAACCCCTTGAGTACAATGACTTAACCCCAGTTACTATGACATAACCCTTGAGTACAATGACAACCCCTTGATTACTATGACACAACCCCCCAGGTACAATGACTTAACCCCTTGATTACTATGACATAACCCCTGAGTACAATGACTTAACACTGAGTACGATACAAAAGGTCCTAAATCATATTCAAGATTTAGTCACCGTACTCAAGATTTAAGTCACCGTACTCAAAGTATAACAAGGTTGTATATTTCACAGGTCCCATTATGATGTGGACTCTGACATTTAGTACCGAAATAATGTAATACATAGATTAAAGAATTACTGATTACTACCTTGTTATTGAACCTAATGTGGTGTTATGGTGGTGTTATATGTGGTGTTATATGGTGCTCTGTTGTGAGTTATATGGTGCTCTGTTGGTTGTTATATGGTGCTCTGTTGTGGTGTGTGGTGATTGATTTTGATTTTGCCACTTACAGCGGCTTAATTTATGCACCCTATGCTCATCCTGTGAGCGGTAGCGCAAAAGGATTACAGAGTAGAGTTTACAAAGGGTCAAAATAATTAACCACCGTTGTCAGGATATTATGGCACTGAATATTTACACAGCATTTTAATTACATTATTTGTTTAGTTCTATACAAAAGAGGTAACTTATTCACAACTGCATGAGCAGGAGTGGGAGGCAGTATGTCTGGCCGCAGGATTGTGAGGCAGTATGTCTGGCCGCAAGTGTGAGGCAGTATGTCTGGCCGCAGGTTGGCAGATACTGGCCTCACACTTTGTTATTCACATCTGCGTGAGAGTATTCAAGCACATTGTGTATTTGGTTCTATACATGAGAACTGATATAGTTACTAAATGCAAAAAGTGGATACAATCTTAATATGTCACTACCTTGCCATTAGAGATGAAATGTTGTGCCATTTCACTCGCAGTGTGCGGACCTGTCCCTAAAGGTTCTATCTTCACACAGTCGAGGACGTAGTGTTCAAGTGTGTGGCCATATGTCTGCCACACACTTTTACATTAGTCTTGTTCACATCTGCCTGAGGACATACTGCAGAGGTACTTATATCTAACCTTAGTCTAGCTGTTGTTACAACATCTAGTGATCTTGTTACTTGTTCCTAACATGCTGCCAGTACTTATATCCTAACCTTGAGTCGCTGTTAACATCTAGTGATCTTGTTACTTGCTCCTATACATGTTTCACATGATACATCTC